TGCGTTTAAAGTCGTACTAATTAACACGGCAGCGATTCAAGATGTCGGCGCTGCACAGCGGAATGGGTTGAGACGGTGGAAGTCTTAAGGCGGCGTGTTCTCTCCGGGGAGCCAAGTGTTAGGAGAATTAACAGCAACCCCTGATCTTGGCCCTCTATGCTATCTCCCTAATAATAAACTGGTAATTCCCAATGCCCCTATAAGTTACTCCCTTTCAACGCCACAATAACCTACGAGTGTTAAGACGTATTGTCTAACGGGTGTTCGCTGTTCGTTCTGCCATACGCACCGCTCTCTGACGATTATCGGTTGATGGATGAATCTAGAAAACAGCTATTGTTGTAATATATATTGAGTTCGGGGAAAAAAAGATCAAATTGATTGGTGCAGCAGCGAATCGAGCAACGACTCGATATATATATATATATGTATGTACGTATAAATTTTTCCTATTTTCTTTTTTTTTTTTTTTATTATATATCTTATATGTAGGAATATATCAAAATTTATAAATAAAAAACTCGTAATTACGTTACATGAGTTAGTTAAAATCTTCAAATATTCAAAACTTATTCTAAATTCGACCCGTCGAAAGGAAATTGATATATTCGATTAAATTAAATTAAATTCCTAGACATTGAACGCTTCCTTTCGAACGATATGAACGAAATGAAAATTCATTTTTAAAAACCGATGATACCGTAACATCGTGTACATATATGTAAAATAAATTAATCTAAAGATAAAGAACATTTCAAAATGTATAGTATAGTTGAGTAACGAAGAAGGAGGGGTAGATCGCGGTTAACGAACCAGAATTGTTGATTAATCGACGGTTTCTAATTTATCCGTAGTGAAGTAAGCAAACACTAGGGGCAAGACAGAATTTCCAGATTCCTCGGCAACGTTTACCACGATGGAATATTGATGATCACGCGTTTTGCATATGTACCCTCTTCCGGACATTTAGCGAAACTCCGTCGACCGGAAGGTAATTCGCAGTTCGAATGAATTCGTCATGATTTCGTGAGCAATGTTCACCCGTTACATCGTTACAGGGTACGCTCACCTTTATCATAGGCATCCACCGCGGCTTGCAAAGTGCCTTGCTTTCGAGACGGGTTTTCGAGGTGTAAAACGACGGAAAGAGTGAAAGAGAGAGAGAGAGAGAGAGAGAGAGAGAGAGAGAGAGAGAGAGAGAGAACAGCGGGGCTGTAAACTCGCGAAGAGGATTCAACCTCTCAACGGAACCGCTTGGATTTATGGGCATAAATTTCTATCCAATAAGAAGCAGCATTCTTGCACTTTATGAACGTGATATTATATCATGCCAACGTTCAATGAAATATTTCGAAATTGGGGACAACTATGCTCGATTCGATAATTTAACGTCAGAACTATCAACTTGTGTAACACGGTATATCTAAATATATTAAACATAGATCGTAAATTAATCAATCGTATGGACATAAGTTTCTCATGAATCTAATCACATGCTTGAGAACCAGGCACTAAAAAGCAACGAGAAACGTCTTATTGCGCGCAAAGGACTTGTTCTCCTCTGTTTAGCCGTGGATATCTACTTCGTAGATTAGGAACGAAGGGAATGGTAACAGTGACCGATAAATTTCATGGCGACTGTCTCTTACTTGTAATTAAACGCACAATTTAAACAGGCCGTTAATGTCACCATGCCCAAACCAAAGTGTCTTCTCTTGGTAAGCGTCCTTAGAAAGCTGCTTTACCGCTAGGATCAATTGGATCACGTTCCCGTAATAAATAGAAAACCAGCGAAACTAACGATTGAAAAAATGTAATTTGACGTTGAGTCAAGATTTATCCTCCCTTCTCAAGCTTCATCTATATGTTTTGATATATACTTAATATTTTTAATAAATAATGATTTTCGAATGACATGTACTCAAAAATATGTATACGTTGTTAAGTACATACGTGTATAATTTAAAAAGAATAGTAATATCATTTTGAATTTGGAATTAATCGGAAATTGAAAAAGTTGATTGATAATGAAAAAAATGTTTTATTTTAACATATCGTTAAACTAATATCTGGAAATTTTAGAAATTCACTCTGTTCTTCTTCCACGAAGATGTCAAAGCATACGTATCGTAACAATTCTAGAACCAATAAAAAAAAATATTTTACTTCATAAAGTTTAAAAGCCTATAAATTCTTTATAAATTTTTCATTCAAATAATCCATGCATGTTACATGGCAATTATGATCGATCTATCAAAAAAAAAAAAAAAAAAAGAAGGGCACATGATTTCATTATGCATGCGTATAAACGAAACGCATTCCTAATTACAGCATTGTGATAACCCATGCCACGTACCAGTCGAACATCTGCGATCCATCGTGACGGATAAATCACCTTGGGACCACCCTCCAATCGCATCTCGGCCATCGCCTTGCATATAGACAGTTACTAATGAGCCAACCCCATTTAATTAACCGTATATAGCTTCGACGCAACTGCCATACTATTTCCCGCTTAGTACATCATGCGTTATAGTCCTTTTCTTTTTTTATTGACGAGCCCTTCCTTTATCGTCAATTCAGAGACTAAAATTTCGCTAACGTTAGAAATATAGCACATCTGTTCGATATTCGCTTGAGATATTTTAAATAATTTATCGATGATTTTCATGCACGAACAGCAGAAATTTAATAAAAATTAAAATATATAGATACGTACGTATATTGCGTTGTATTAGCTATAATATATGAAATTTAAGAAATCGTTCATTCTGTCATGTAAACGTCATAAATTATAGGAACTTGAAACATATAATAGTAATACTTATATACAAAATATAAATTATTTTTTTAATAAAAAATCGTGTAAGTTTAATATGTCACGTTAAATTTAAAAATTTTTCTCTTTTTACAATGATTTAATATTTGAGATTAAATATTATCCATTTGAGTGCATAATGTTATCTAAGATATGAATAGGTTAGATTTTTTTAAACTGTTGTACGTAAGTATACGTATAAGTAAATAAATGTTAATTATTATAGGCGTATATCTACGTAAAACGTGACAAATGATAATAACTTTTATTGAATTTTGAAATATCTTTTCAAAATTGAACCGAACTTAAAAATCTTTGTTCATGTCATATTTTTAGACAATTATAAATGAAAAAGTTCAAATATGATATTAAAATTAAATGTTTCAAAATAAAACTATTATATTTCTTTCATAAATATATGTATTAACGATCAATTATTTTAATTTAATGATAAAATATTGTAAAATAAAAATAAAATGACTATCTTTCTTTTTGAAATACGACGTAACCAATAGCCTCCGTGGCGCAATCGGCTAGCGCGTTCGGCTGTTAACCGAAAGGTTGGTGGTTCGAGCCCACCCGGGGGCGTTTCTTTTTTATTTTTTGAATTGTTTTATACGCGCCATAATCGTAATAAATATAGAAAAAAATATCTTTCATTCATTTCCTCGCAATTTTAATGCAAACAATTTCAAGCAAGATAATGTTAATATCATTATCTTATTATATCCTCTGATTTAATTTCATCAATGTAATAATTTGTATGTTTTATCGTTGAATGTATGAAAATGATGATCAAAGATAATACAATATTAAAAATAACTTTTCAAATATTATTATTATATTTTTTTTTTTCATTATTTTATAAATCACATTGCTAATAAAAGTTATTTTGAAATATACGTATGCAAATATCAATTTGGTATTAAATTTTGGAGATACGAACGAATTCAACTATATTTATATAATCTCATTATATAAAATAAAATTCTATAATTAGTATAATTGTAATTAATATAAAAATGTTATTTATATATTAGAAAAGAAAATATATTTTAAACGTCAATATTTAAATTTCAAACAATAAATCATCGAATATAAAAATAATTTTATTTATCCAACATTCTTTCTTCCTCTTTTTATTTTTCTAAGATGGAAATTATAAAATACGAATTGTCCAATAAATAAAGTATTATTAATATATTGAGGCTAATAATAGATATCTATATAAAAAAATAGAAAATCAAAAATAAATTATTAATAATGTCAAAATAAAATATTTGTAACTGTTTTAAATGATAAAAACGATTACAAGTTTATTATAAATATTAAAATAAATATAATATAATAAGATTTTTTAATTTGTATCATTATTTAAATTATAAATAGGAAAAGTAAAAATAACTTATATATATCGAATTACAATATATCGAACTGGAACTATAAAATTTAATATAAGAAAATTGTTGTCAACGGCGCCGTGGCTTAGTTGGTTAAAGCGCCTGTCTAGTAAACAGGAGATCGAGGGTTCGAATCCCTCCGGGGCCTTACGAAATTAATTGATATTTATTTTTTTATAATTGCTTCTATTTTTTTCATTATATTCATTTTCAAATATATTATAAAATCAATTCTTATTATTAAATAATTAAATATAATGTGTATAAATATTATTATATCATTTTTATATGCAGCAGTATTTTATTTATATGCTATCATTACTTTATATATATATATACATGTATATGTATATATACGATGACTTTAATTATTATATAATATTAGCAATGTATATTAACGATATAAATTGCATATAAATATGTAAACATATAATTACTGTATCCAAATTATTATATCTTTATACTTTCATTAATTACTATAAGAAAAAAAATATAACTTTTTATTAATAGAAATTATTATGACATAAAATAAAAATAAAAAAATAAATTCAATAATTATATCACCTTATTGTTAAATAATACAAAAATACATGAATAACATTATTTTCTCAATAATCTATTATCGTTTCGATGCAGTATAAAATTTCACGTAAAGCCAAATGCATATCGAAGTTTAGGCAACAGTGTTGCCACATGCGTATGATGTTACAAAGGTGGCTGCCTTGCTGCCAATCAATGAAAAAACTTCGTTGTTGTCGTTTATATAGTGCGTGGTGTTATAACCTTGTTTTGTGCCAAAATGAGTTTATATACGGATCCTCTTTGTTTAAATAAACATCGTTTATTTCTAGAATTAAAAAATGGCTTGTCGGGAAATATCAAAGATACAAGGAATATTTTAGAAATTCGTGACAACGTGTTGTACGTATGGAATGCGAATGATTCTTGTGTGATGACATTAAACGTTGCAGCATCGCGGGGAAAAGATGGAGATGTACTTTATCAAGTAAGTCAACAACAATATTCAATTCATAATAAGATTATACGATTTATAGATAATTTAATGGGGAAAAAAAAAAGTAACGAGATATGTCTTTACATCGAATTGCTTATTGTATACAAACCTAACCTGTATAACGTGTATCGAAATGCGCGCAAGCGCTTTTTCTACCTTCATTCATATTTGCTGCAATAATAATAAAATATAAATACGATAATGAGAAAATAAATCTTTATTAGGAAAACAATATATGTTGTTTAATATCATAATATAATCTATTTAGATGTAATCTATTAGAAAAATTTTATAAGAAAAAATATTTGTGATGTATTTGTATCAAATGCACAATAAATTAAATATAAGTTATATCGATGATTATTTATATAATTTTTATATAAATATATAATATTATATAATTTTTTTGATTACAATACGAAATCGATAGATAAACTCGAGACTCAAATATTAAAAACTGTTGAACTTTTAATTATATCTTTTATAATCTCTTTAATCTTTTTTCCTAATTTATCTTTTTTAATCTCTTATCACATGGAACGTTAAAAATATTTAAAATCGAAATAATTGATGAAAAAATGGAAGTAATAAATTATTATTGTTACTTGTACATAAACATATTTATAAATAATATAATATCGAAATCTTAATATAATATCTATTTATTCATTGCGATTATATTCTATTATCTGAAAAAATCATTCGTCATCATTCGAAAATAGATAAACATGTAAACATTTAAGGAAATTACGAGAATCGTGCGATAAAGGGGCCGATCACTTTTGGCTAATGATTCGGTCGTTGGTTAAGCAGAAGTTGCTCGATAATCGAGACCATTATCGTAGCACGATGCGTTCGCTTTACGACGATTACCGCGAAAGCGTTTTCTCCGGCGAACTTTTGATTCGAAGCGATTAAGCTCCGGTTAAATTATGGCCCGCGATACCAATATACATAGTCAGTGGTAGAAGCGCGTGTCCACGAACGCATAGGTAGACGCGTCTCGCGGTTAATCGGTGTACGTGCATACGCGCGCTAGTGGAAAATGATTACGTGGTAAATGAAAGGGAGGGGGGGGGGGAGGAGGAGGACATGGCGAACGGAGCGCACAGTGAGAATGGGCAGAACGTTTCGTTCTCGGCTGTGCTTTTATTTCATTTCAATGGTACCGTAGGATCACCGGGTACATTAATGTCTCTGTGCCCGTGTGCGTGGGCTCGCGCGCGCGACCGACCGAGCGGACGCGCGAGAGACCAAAAGACCGGTGAGGGGATAATTTATAGGAAATGGGTTGTTCGACGCTCCGGAGTAATTTAATTAAAATAAATGTCCGTACCGCGGAGGAACGTTACCCACGAACCCGCGGTCCACAACTGCGAATAAAATGCAAATTCAGACCCTTCACCGGGTTACGTATGGGTATTCGTAGCTAGGTAGATAAAGAGTACCCGCCGAGGGGGAATAGAGGAGTCTCACCAAGGGTCTCCATCTCTTTCACTTTCTCTCTTTCTCTCTCGTTCTCTTTGGGGACCGATCATCGCTCGTTCACCCGTTGATTTGATAAGGGAAAATCCTGAGGAATCCTCTCTCTATTCGCTTCCATCCCTCCTTCCGTGTCTTCTTCCACGTTTTACACTCTCTCGTCTCGATTCTAGAATTTTAAGAAGAGGTTAGAAAAAAGTTGATCTTTCGTCCGTTTCGATTTTCGATGTATCTATCTATCTATATATATATATATATATGAAACACGCGTCGAAAAGAGATACGTAGAGATATATACGCGAATGTCTATCGGTAAGCTAGAATCTCTCCCCTCGTTTAATCAATCGTTCGAAAAAGCGACGATTCTCCGGTAATTTTTCTAAGAGTCGATCGAATCGTGGGCCACTCTCCCAAGGGCCACTTTATGACCGGTACGTGCATGCGCGGTGGCCGACTGAAATATCGGTCGTAAATAATAAAAGTTAGCGAGGTTCCTCCCTGGCGCGCACGGCGGGACTTTAAACCGGAAGATAGGTGTCGCAGGATACGGACGAGGCAGCGTAGAAGGGGGCGAGATGAGGCGGGCGAAAGAGGGTGTGGGGCGGAGACAAAGACGCGCTATTGTCAACCGCTCCGCCATCGGAACCACCATCCGCCGCGGGAAACTTTGAATCATTTTTATTGCATAGAGTTATCTTTGTTACCAGCGGAACGAACGTCTAAACGCGTCCTCTCTGTCCCTTTCTCCGCTCTTTCTCCCTTCGTCTTCCTTCCAACCGACACCCCACCAAACTCTCACCCCTTCCTAGTTCGTACAGGTTATTCCCTCCCGTCGTTGGTCCTCGCCTTTCTGTTTCCCTCTACCTGCACACCCTTTTTGTTCTTCTCGCTCGACACGAGATAATACGAACGAGGAAGCGTTCACACCCCTTTGGCTGCCCAAATGGAATAAGTTCTTTAATTCGCGAATTTACCGCCGCTCTAACGAATTGCCCGTCCTTCTCGTCGAGATAACAAGCCTTCCTCTAGCTCTTTTCACCCAGCTTCAACTTTTAATTCTTCCCTCTACCAATTCTCCGCTCTCCCCGCACCGATCTACGTACGTATTTATTTATATTTCCATATTTTCCTCTCGATCCATCGATTTCTTTCAATTCTCGAATTTTTATGTAGTAAAATTACGAGCAATTCAAAATAATTCATACACTTCGAATCGATTTTAATAATTATACGCGTCATTTAAAATATATATACCTAATCCTGGGCAATCGGATATTCGAAATATATATCATTGATCGATAATATTCATTTATTCGATCCTTTTTCGATCAATGAGTTATTTCTTTTTTTTTTTTACGCTTTGACCCTAAAAATCGAAGAGAAGCACGTTTAGAAATTAACTTAAAGCGATATCTTCGCTTTAAAGGAATAAAGAAAACGAGGCGAGAAACGTTTAGATTTATGAATATGGTCGCAATTCGCAATAGTTTGTACGATCTTTTCTATATCCGGTAAAAAGGGACCATCTTATCTAAATTAAAAACGGCTATTCGCGGAATCGCGTAGCAAGGTCGAAGGAAACAACGAAAAATCCAGATCTCAGGCTGTGAAAGAATGGAATATCTCGTAATAAGCAAAATCCTCGTGACGATAATTAAAAAGCAATTTTACGGTGACATTTGTATCTACAATGGCCGCCTTTTTTTCCAGATGCAAATATTCGGACACGCGAGTACGCAGTCACACCGCGTGGCAATAAGAAACGCATACATGCTATATTATATATAACGTGCAAGTTGTGGAAAAACTAGATGTCTCGGCCCTGGTTTAATCAGATTATTCTCCGTTTCTCACCCGTTGAAAATATTTTTCAAACCGAGTGTCGTAACGTTTATCTTATACTTGATATCCCTTTATTTATGAAAAAAGAACTTGTCGAATTTTCTCAATAAATATTGACACGGATTTTCTCTTAGATATTTTCTCTTAGATATTTTCAATCGTAAAAATTTAGATTACGAATCCTGAATTAATTATTACTTATTATTATTACTTATTATTAATTATCGATGGTTACCCTAATAATTTCTGCAAAAAGAAGAAATACGAAAAAAAAATTTTTTAAACAAACATTAAATTTATCGTTCGATTGTTTGTCGTTGTTTCGAAACAAAGTATTATTAACAGGAGATAAAGAAAACGCGATCCTATATTCGAAAGATGAGATGAAAGTTAGAACGCTCGACGAGAAGACATCTCGATGAAACGCAAAGCCTCGGCATATATTTGTTTTACAAGGTGTACGGTGATGAAGCTCGTGCACGAGCGTACTACGAGTAAACGAAGGGGGAATGTAGGATGGTCCCGTCAGTTGGTGGGCACAGGTTAGGTGGTCTTGCACGTGCAAGTGTACGAGGAGGTACGTGGAGCAATAAAATTCACGGGAAGTGTTTTACATCGGTAGCGTGGGGCCCTTGTGTGCTCTGTGGACAGGGGCGCTAGGGTGAGAGAGAGAGAGAGAGAGAGAGAGAGAGAGAGAGAGAGAGAGAGAGAGAGAGAGAAAACCTCGACGAATTCAGTAAGTGGCGGACAATAGCTTTTGTGGTGGACATGGACCAACTCATACCTCTCTCTCTCTCCCCTTTTCCTCTTCTCCGCCATGCGTATTTCGTTCGTCGCGTCGCGCCACGGATACATTTCTCCTTCCGCGTAACTTCGTTTTCTTTCTTTCTTTTCTTTCTCTAATATGCTAATATCTCTTCGAAAACAATCCTAAAAAGTATTTTGATCTTTTGGCACTTCTTGTCAAATCGATTTTATCGCGATAAAATACATTTTCGTTCGTCGCTGAATTTTTTCTTTTTTTCGATTATAACATTTAACGATGATCGTTAAAAAAAAATATTGTGTTATATACGTTCGATCGGCCTTAGGTATCGAGAAGAATGGAATTTTTTAGCGAGCAAGGGGGATTGGAGCGAACTCGAGTGGCTTACGCGTTCCGCAGGGGGTGGTTTTGTCAGCTCTAGAATACCTTGGCAGGCTAATGCATTTCCTTTACAGTTTTAATGGGCATTCATAACTAAGTTTAATAATACCGGTAGGAGGGCAGCCGTCGTGGTTGCATATCTAATAATTCCACGGCTCTACCCCGCGCAGGAAGTGGCACACAGCACGAATTTCAGCAATGGCTGCTCGAGTTCATCTCTCCGCTACTCTTCTTTACCGAAATTGTTCGACCTCTTTCTCCTTATCCTTCTCGCGCCCTCCTTTCTCTCTGTCTCTCTCTCTCTCTCTCTCAAACCTTCTTCTTCGACTGGACACTTGGAAAGTTTTCTATTCACCGATTCGAACCGATTCATCTATTATTCGTTTCACAACGTTTCTTCGGAATAATTGTCAAAAATTTCCTATTTATTTCACACTTCATACTCTACACTTGTTACTATTATTGAGCATATTGTACGTTGAAAACATTGCTAATTTTTTCGAAGTAGGAGGCGAGGATG